TCTTAATAACGACTTTGCTTGTTATCCGAGAGGAAGAAAGTCAATACTTGGGGAAAGGAATAAAAAATGAGTTAATCCTTGTAATAGTAATGTAATCTCTGTTCAGGTCCTTACCTCTAAAGGATTTCTAAATCTGGGAGAAACCATTGTTTGAGAGAGAGAGAGAGAGAGAGAGAGAGAGAGAGAGAGAGAGAGAGAGAGAGAGAGAGAGATGCAACTATGTGATATGCTTGGTTGCTTCTCAAGGAACTTGTATTAATGTTTATGGTTCTTAACTGTCTATATTAGCTATTAGAGCTTGATAAAAGGGTTCTGATCAAAATCGTTCAAGTCTGTGGATAAAATCAAGGGAGATTCCAATTTCCAAATTTTGTCCTAAGGACTTGTCATAAATCGAACGCATTAAGGTTATCCGTTGCACATTCGTTTATCATATGTACATATCTTGGTCTATTATTGCTAATGACCAAGAAAGGTGTAATACAATGTCTTAACTATAGATTATTCATGGTCTTGTTAAGGCTTCCGGTTGCCTTTTTGCAAAAATAGAATGCAAGAACACTCATTGCACAAGGTATTATCAAGAGGTGTAAGGAAATTGATTTTACAAAATGTCTTGCAGCTTAAAATCATCGATTCAGACACTTACTTTTGGAAAACTCTCCTAAAACCATAATAACTTATGATGTCTCAGTTTCCTTCCTTAGTTATAATTATAAAAGAGGAACCGTCATGAAGTAAAAGAGGAATGTATATGTGATTTACAAAACTGATAGTATGTTGTTACGCCAAGTTTACTCAAAATTGAACACTTGTCATATATAATATATTCTTATGATGGTTGTTATAAACTAGAATAACATGATTCAAGTTGAATGTATATTACATCTTTTGAACATAGTTCCGTGTATTTATTTCATTCAAGTACAATGATAAGGACAAGATATATGTAGACATGTAATGATAAATTCAAATGAAATAGTTCTTAATTCCGCATGTCAAATCCGAATTTCATGTCCTAACAATTTTTGGTTTCATATTTTTTATGAAAATGCTGTTGTACTCTGTATTATTACATTTGCACAAATAAAAATGGCAAATGATTAAAAACAAAAATAGGGTGGCTATAACAACAGATTAACAACAAATATTAATGACAATGGAGCGTCAGATACACCGTCGTTGTTAGCGTAGACACAAACAGTCGCTAAATCGTTCAAATTTTGGTATTAAACAATGTTTCTTTTACTAAAAGTCTAACTAATTAGTTCATCATGGTACTAAATCTAAAAAGAAGTGTCGCTAATCCGTCTTTAAGAGAATCAACCATATTTACTTTTCAAACGGTTAGCTCCATCGTTAATCTACCACTAAAAGTCTTCAGTGATGATTCTTGCCATTGCTGATATTCAATTTCTAGTAGTGAGTGATAAGCATGATGATTTAGTATGTACGAAGAGAAGATCCATGTTCCATATGGAATAAATTAAAACATTATGTTGCTATTGTATGAATTTAATCTTTTGTGAAAAGTGGGTTGGCTAATTTTCTTATAAAAGATTATCACAAACGATAATCATTATGATATACTATTACTTCATAAGAAGATTCACTCACAAGCAAAATCTAAGTAATGAAGTATACACCAATCCCATCCCACAAGCGAAGCAACATAGAGTTCCAAATAAAACTCCATTATTGAGGGTATGATTTGGAATTAAAATAACCAAAAGCATGAGTGAAAAGAAAGGAATGCCTATACCAAAAAATTAACGTCCTACAAACAAATATTCTATAGATATCATTATCAATAATACTTATTGCATAAACTATAGCGATAACCATTTAAGATATGTTTTCAAAAAGTTTCTTATCCTCTTAATTATTTGGTGGAAAGGGTTAAAAGGCCTCATACGATAGTCTTAAACACATATATACATTTTTTTCTTACTTAGACCATCTATACTTGTATTGCAAATAGCTTTCTAACACCACTTGCAAGTGATACGGCTAAACTATATCATCACTTTCCTTGCAGCATTTGCAAGATGTGTTGCAATGCCAAATAAGGATGGTAGACCCACTGACCCATATGTTAATTATTATTAATTACTTAATTACATAATTATACTATATAGGATATCACTACAATAAACATATGATTTTGTAAGGATTTCAGATTTGCAATTCACCAAAATGACCATCAACTTCAAAATGGCCTATTTAGAATTTCAAACTTAGCATTTTGACATATAATATGTAATTTTCTCATATTTATAGAGACACTTGGAACAATAACAACAACAATAAAAAAAATATTAAAAACTTTAAAATGTTTACTTCACTTTACTTTAAAACCACAAAACTTTCTTTCTAACATTATTTGAGTCATGGATTGGACATTTGTTCATGGAGTAAACGAAAATAATAATTTTAAAATTCAAAAAAGCAACTAAATTGAAATTCCGAAATTTCTAATTCGAAATATACTTTTTTCATAAATTGATTATTTGAAATATACTTTTTCCGACATTGTATTTTTTTTTCTTAAATTGAACATTTTTTTACCAATTTGTTACAAATCTGAGTACTTAACTGGTAAACCCGGTTTTTAGCTGACGTGTCACTTGAGGATGTGGCATGCTGAATGATATGGCATGATGATGTGACATTAATTTGTGACATTATATTTTGGCTGTCAAAATTGAAACAAAAACTAAAATATAGTGATTTATATGTCAAAATTGAAACAAAAATAAAAACTAAAATGCAGTGACTTTTGTGATATT